TTACAGGAGTGAGTTCCAAGCCAGGCCCAGTCAGGGCTCTTGGTAACGCTGTCCCATAGACACTGCTTTGAAGATAGGTATAAGGGAAAGTGGAACTGAAACCAAACAAATGAACTGGGGAGAAGGATGAGTGGAACAGGTCAACTCCAGAGTAAACCACACAGGTGGCTTTTAAATTGTGAAAAAATACATTTCTATTTTTCAAAATTTTATTAAGATTCTAGGCCCCTAACATCTAAATAAGTCAAAGTCAAATAAGGGCCTCTTAAAAGTAAAAGAGACTTTATTAGCTGTTGATGTATAAATGGGAATGCAGAACAGGCATTTCTGCTATGCACTTAGTTCTGCTATGCACTGTGCATCAAGCACAGCCAGGTGAGGGAGGATCTCAGACACCTCTCCCTGCGGGGTACAACAGACTGAGAGGAATCCATGCCCTGGCTACACATCACTGAGAACCCATGTGTGCACCTGCTAGAAAAAAAGATAAACCAATGTTTACAGAACTGGAACTCCTGCATGAACACAGAAAGAAATGGACTACATGCCTGATGACATCTGGCTTATAATATATTTTTTTAAATATATATATATATATATATCTTTAAAATGTTTATATCTATTTTATATACATCTCTATGTGCGTGCGTGTGTGTGTATATAGAGAGACAGCGCACATGCACGTGCAAGAGAGACACACAAATACATAGAGACAGACAAGTCTCCTCTATTGCCCAGGCTGGAGTGCAATGGCTCCACCATAGTTCACTGCAGCCTCAAACTTCTGTGCTTATGCGATCCTCCTGCCTCAGCCTCTTGAGTAGCTGGGACAACAGGCATATGCCAACATACTCAGCTAAAATTTTTCTTTTTTTTTTTTTAAGTAGAGACCCAGGCTGATCTTGATCGAACTCCTGGGCTTAAGCAATCCTCCCACCTTGGCCTCCCAAAGTTCAGGGAATACAGGTGTGAGCTACTGTGCCCAGCAAAAATCTGTTTAAACATCTGTATCTGAAAAGTAAAAATCAAGGCAGACTAGATTTTTAAGTCTGTACAATAACCAGGCAGGCAATTTGGGAATGTAGGTACTCATTATGGTATAGAACAGTCAACCAAAACACTTTTAATACCACCAGGTTCTGGTCTGGAACTAGATATGTAATCTAGTCAGTGATATTTTTTCTCAGAGGGAAATGAGTTGCAGTAGGTTCTGGTCTGGAACTAGATATGTAATCTAGTCAGTGGTATTTTCTCAGAGGAAATGAGTTGCAGTAGGTTCTGGTCTTCGGAACTAGATATGTAATCTAGTGTTGGTATTTTTCTCAGAGAAGTGGTTGCAGTAGGTTCTGGTCTGGAGCTAGATATGTAATCTAGTCAGTGGTATTTTTCTCAGAGAAAATGAGTTGCAGTTGCAGTCCTTCTTTGAGAATTATCTAATTCTAGTACATGTTACACATCTGAGACTTTTCAATGACAGCACCATAAAAGGATGGAGAAATGCCAGTTTCAGGTCGATTAACAACAATACCTACTTCATAAAATTGTGTTGAGGATTAAGTAGAGTAATAAGTAAAGAAAAAATACAGTGTCTGGAATACAATAAACGATCAATAAATGGTGCTTTGGGCAGCTGTGAAAGCAAAGGAGTTGTCTAAAAACTGGAAGACCGTTTCATATCATAAACTGCTTTTAAACCGTAATCTAGTCAGTGGTATTTTTTCTCAGAGGGAAATGAGTTGCAGTTGCAGTCCTTCTTTGAGAATTATCTAATTCTAGTACATGTTACACATCTGAGACTTTTCAATGACAGCACCATAAAAGGATGGAGAAATGCCAGTTTCAGGTCGATTAACAACAATACCTACTTCATAAAATTGTGTTGAGGATTAAGTAGAGTAATAAGTAAAGAAAAAATACAGTGTCTGGAATACAATAAACGATCAATAAATGGTGCTTTGAACTGACTGTTGAAAGCAAAGGAGTTGATATAAAAACTGGAAGACCGTTTCATATCATAAACTGCTTTTTAAACCAATAAACACTTTTTGATTCTTACCTCCAACTTTAAGACAAAGAGGACAGGCACAACAAGTGCACATTAGCTTAGAGTCAGAACCCCTTCCACTGACATACCATTAAAAGAAAACGATTAACACATTTTTTTTCCTTCCTTTCCCTTTTCTTGTTCATTCCTTGGTAAAAACATTAGAACAACAATGAAATGACTAAGAACATAAAAGGACCAAAAGGCAGAAAACCTGACAAATGTATAAAGTCTCCTCTAACAAGAAATGGCCTTTATATTGCTCTAAAGTCCTCCATGTACTTATTATGTTACTTTTTTAACTCTTTAAGAATGCAGAAAATGAGTATTTTCATTTCTATATGGATACATTAAACATGGAGAATTATATTTTTACATTCTATATATGTGCAAGCACAGAAAAAGTCAGTCATAGGCTAACATAAAATAAATACGTGGCTAACATTGGAAAGGAATATATAACTTCTTGGTGTAGTTAGAGAACACGGCATTAAACCAAAGGTTGCTGTCAATCTATTAGCAGAAATAGATATGAGTGGAAATGAGTTAGATACGAATTAAAAACTCCTGAAAATAAAAAATAAAAACCCTGTTTTTAAAAATTTTTTCTTCCTTAACCTATTCAAAAAGAAACACTACCTCATTCAAGTCAAAGTATAATATCTGACTCTTAAAATCTGTTAAAATTAGAAAATATTTAATATCATGAGGGCCTAAGGATACAACCAGTTTTTTTAAAGCTGCAGAACCCATCTAGAATTGCTAACTTTTTCCTCTGGCTGTTACCAGAGAAGGCAGCCACGTCTGTCTCTTTGACCAGCACACCTCACCGAATAAAAAGTCAGGATAACGATCATGGGCACAACACGATGTCATGTGTTTTCACGACATCCACCAAAAAATATGATTACTGGTAAAAACTGAACACTATTTAACGCATCCACTGTCAATGCCCTTCTCAAGGATCTGCGTGGAGAAGGAAAGATGACTAACCTTAGAAGTGTACCAACAAGTGTTCATCACACTGAATGTGGTTTTAAAAATATACGCGACACCACCCAGAAGGACAGAAAGCATACAGAAAGCAAAGCGTAAGCGGATGAAGCGCATTCAGCCAGCAGAGGGGTGAGGCACGTCCTCCCTGGCACTGGCTTCCTCAAATCTTCACCTGTGTACCGAAAACAAGCCTAGTTTCAACTGGACATGTCGTAAGGTCTACTTATATTTGACTTGCAGAGTAACATACTGTATTTAGCAAAGACAAACCAATACAAACTGGAAAGAGGTTTTAAACCAATAAAAACCTGAAATGTGAAGGGTCTTGGATGCCTCAACACATGTTTAATGCAGACAGACATAAAAAAATGTCCCTCTTACCTCCTCTCCATTTCAAGGTTACAGGACACAGTAATACTGAATCAGGACACAGGCACATGTTATGTAAATCTTATTTAATATATAGTACCACCTACATCCTGCTTTCGTACTTTCAACATAATTTAACACATTCAAGGAGACTATGCAAATCAATTCAAAATATCTATCTACACCAATGGTTTTCAAACTTTTTTTTTTTTTTTTGAGACAAAGTCTTGCTCTGTCACCAGGCTGGAGTGCAGTGGCGCAATCTCGGCTCACTGCCACCTCTGCCTCCCGGGTTCAAGCGATTCTCCTGCCTTAGCCTCCCAAGGAGCTGGGACTACAGGCATGTGCCACCACGCCCAGCTAATTTTTCTATTTTTAGTAGAGACAGGGTTTCACCATGTTGGCCAGGATGGTCTCAATCTCCTGACCTCGTGATCCACCCGCCTTGGCCTCCCGAAGTGCTGCGATTACAGGCGTGAGCCACGCACCTGGCCACAAACTGGTTTTTGTTTCTTTTGAGATGGAGTATCGCTCTGTCGCCCAGGCTGGAGTGCAGTGGTGCGATCTCGGCTCACTGCAACCTCTGTCTCCTGGGTTCAAGCAATTCTAATACCTCAGCCTCCTGAGTAGCTGGGACTAGCGGCGCCCACCACCACGCCCAGCTAATTTTTGCATTTTTAGTAGAGACGGCGTTTCACCATGTTAGCCAGGCTGGTCTCCAATTCCTGACCTCAGGTGATCCACCCGCCTCAGCCTCCCAAAGTGCTGGGATTACAGGCATGAGCCACCGCGCCCGACCAAACTGTTTTTAAATAACTGCCCCCTTTAAAATACTTAAGCCTTATGCAGACACCTTAAGTGGCACATAAAGAGACAAGGCAGAGAAGCTGTGTTTGAAAGTAACTTGATGACCCACCTGGACATCCAATGAGCATAGTTTGAAAACCACTGAAATAAGGTATGCTATTCATAATAATGTTTGCTATCCATGCCTCCTAGCAATTAAATTTACAACAACAATTTCAAGTTTAAGACAAAAAAGTTAAACACTGAATGGAATGTTGAAATCTGAAGAAAGCTAGCACTCAAATGAGCAGTTAAATTCATTAAACAGTATGCTTTAAAAAAATATTAAGAAGTTAAAATGACAATGTAAGGTTTGCATATCATCATACTATTTATTGAAGTAGAAAGAACCTGAAAAATGTTTACTTCAAAACTTTAGTCTAGTAAACTGAAATCATGAATCATAAAATGCTGCTTCTTTCTTTTGCTTCCTAAATCATAATTTACCCCAACTACATTGAAATTTTCATGAAAAATGAACATACTAATAATGGGATTTACAGAAACCAATTTCTTTACAAAAGTCTTGACCAACTGTTACCTGACTATCCCAGTAAGGAGAATTTTCCTTCAAAGATATTTTTAGGAAAAACTTTTGTTTCTTTGTTTGCTTTTCTTTTTAAAATGGGGAAAACTGTAAAACATAAAAGAAATGCAATGTATAGTAGAAATTGCTTATTCCGACTTCTAACTCCTCATATCAAACTTCTCTTTAGAAAAATGGAAAATGTATCCAGTACAATTGAATCAACACACAATTTATTTTTTTATGTAACAGATTTTTCAAATTGAGCTCTTAAAAAGTACAGTTAACTACAAAAGATTAAATAGATATTTATAAAATATATTTACCCTGAAATGTTTAAGAATATAAAGTGTTGCTGCCCATGTCAAGAGTACATTATACATTACACACATTATTTAAATGTCATTTTCTTTCCATTAATAACGTAGATAAAACCACAATATTTATTGCTTATATCAAGTGCAGGTTAAAATCCAGATAACCTCCAAAAACAAATCCTGTGATAAAGGATTTCTCAATGTTGGTCAGGTGAAATACTGCGTTTGACATGTATGAATACAGTTGCAAAATTTACCAGTTTTTAACAAACATGAATGTCTTTATTTTAGACAGCCATTTACAGTTTGGGTTTCAGAGGGACCTGCAGTGAAGAGTCCTGAGATGTTGGGCTTGTGACTGTAAATATCACTTATCTGGTTGATGTCTATTCTACTGCACCGTTTTTGGGATATGAGGCGTTTGCTGCAGACAAACCCCTATGATTAATGTAGCACTGTCAGCTACTAGTGCAGAAGCTTGCTGGGCAAAATTAATTATTTATAGGGCATTTTGCTGAAAAAACAGTGTCCAGCCAACAAAAGCGCCAACCAAAATGACTGACACAAACCCCATCTTAGTGAGAATAGGTTGCCAATATAACCACCTTTTTCTTTTTCGTTCATTCTCATTTAGCCTCTGTTTCATCTGCTGCACCTTCTGAGCTGTGGTGGCCTTTCTGTCCTCTCGAATACGTTTCCGTAGAGCACTATGAGGAAATAAAAACAAGTAAAAGGAAGTGCACACAGAGCAGGACTTGACTCTAACACAGAGGACCTGGGCGCAAACAAAACCAGCCATATCCACATAGTTTTCACCCTACTTGAACACAGGAATAACGAGGGGGAAAAGCTTCAATTTGTTTTGTTTTGTTTTTTTTTTTTTTGAGATAGCGTCTTGCTCTGTCACCCAGCCTGGAGTGCAGTGGTGCAATCTTGGTTCACTGCAACCTCCGCCTCCCACGCTCAAGTGATTCTCGTGCCTCAGCCTCCCGAGTAACTGGGATTGCAGGCGTGCACCACCATGCCCAGCTAATTTTTTGTATTTTTAGTAGAGACAGGGTTTCGCCATGTTGGCCAGGCTGGTCGAACTCCTGACCTCAAGCAATTCAGCCGCCTTGGCCTCCCAAAGTGCTGAGATGAGTGAGCCACAGTGCCCGGCCAAGAAAAGTCTCAATATTCTTAATGATTCAGAGATGTACCTTGACAACCATTCCTGGTACAGTTTTATATTGATAACTGCTTTTAGTGGGACCTGAAAATAAGCAAGGAACTTTCTGAAAACGTGAAATGATGACTGTTAGTTTTCTTTCCTTCTTTGTTAACTAGTCAGCAGAAGCAGGAGTGGGAACACAAGGGGGTACTGCCTGCATCTGATCCCCTTTCCTGGTCATGTTTGATGGTTAAGGCTCTTATAAAAGCTATCTATTTAATATTTCCATGAATGTTCTGTTGTGGGAGCACCTATTCTTTTCTTTGACCATACACATTTCTAGCTCCCATTTTCATAGTCGATACAGAATTTTTTTTTTTTTTTTTGGGTGGGGGGATTGGGTGGGGGATGGAGTCTTGCTCTGTTGCCCAGGCTGGAGTGCAGTGACATGATCTTGGCTCACTGCAACCTCCGCCTTCCGGGTTCAAGCAATTCTCCTGCCTCAGCCTCCAAAGTAATTGGGATTACAGACGTGCACCACCACGCCTTGCTAATTTTTTTTTTGTATTTTTAGTAGAGATGAGGTTTCACCATGTTGGCCAGGCTGGTCTCGAACTCCTGATCTCAAGTGATCCGCCCACCTCAGCCTCCCAAAGTGCTGGGATTACAGGCATAAGCCACTGCGTCTGGTCTCAGAAATTTTGTTTCAATGGAAAGTCTCTTGACTCCCAAGATACTTAGTCCTGTTCTATATAAATAATAATGCCACCCAGCTATTCAGGAAGATGGCTTAAGCCCAGGAATTCAAGTCCAGCTTGTGCAATACAGCAAGATCTTGCCTCTCTATAAAAAACACACACAAGGCCGGGCGCGGTGGCTCAAGTCTGTAATCCCAGCACTTTGGGAGGCCGAGACAGGCGGATCACGAGGTCAGGATATCGAGACCATCCTGGCTAACACGGTGAAACCCCGTCTCTACTGAAAATACAAATACTAGCCGGGCGAGGTGGCGGGCGCCTGTAGTCCCAGCTACTCGGGAGGCTGAGATCTGGCCACTGCACTCCAGCCTGGGCAACAGAACGAGACTCCATCTCAAAAAAAAAAAAAAAAAAAAAAAAAAAAAAAAACACACACACACACACACACAAAAACAAAAAAACGGTCAATGGCAACATGTAGGTTACTATTTCTTCCATCCCCTCTTTTCACTTTTCTGTATTACAGCAAAGGCCTAACTAGCTTCCCTGCCCTCAAATTAAATATTATTGCCATGGTAATTTTTCTAGAGCATACTCCTAGACATGCAGCTTGATTTAAAACTTTTTTTTTTTGGTTACAGGGCCTAGTGCACAATAGTGCTTAAAAATCTCAAATCCCTCTTCAATGTCTCCTACATTGAGACTACTTTTTTCCTGGTCAAGATGTTTAACCTGAATTTAACTATGATAAATAAAGATTAAAGAAATGCATTGCATGAGGCATTCTAAAAGATAACTGGTCTAGAAGCTTCAAAAATACAAATGTCAAGGAAGGAAGAAAAAGGTAGGGATTAAAGGAGACGAAAGACTCATATCAACTAAATACAGTATGAATCTTTGATTAATCTTGAAATACTTTTTAAACAGCTACAGAAATTGGGATCAGGAAAATGTTCTCAAATCAGATCGTGGTGCCAGCTACACAATTTGGTAAATGTATTAAAATTCATTGAATCGTATACTTTAAAGGAGTAAACTTTATGGTATATAAATTATCTTTCCATAAAACTGTTTATTAAAAAAGCTATATGGTGAACCTTTCAGACAAGAGAAATCTGAATTGAACTATGTATTAGAATACTTTAATCAATGTTACACTTCTTTGGTGTACTGGAACCTTCTCTCCCCAAGAGATTGTCAGTGGGAATGTAAAATGGTTCAGCTGCCATAGAAAACAGCTTTTGACAGCTCCTCAAAAAGTTAAACATAGAGTTACCATATGACCCAGCAATTCCACTCCTAGATATGTACCCAAGAGAACTGAGAACACATGTCCACACAAGTGCTTGCCAATATTCTCCTGCTATGCAGAACTTTGTTCTTGCCATTTTTTGCTGTTCTCCAAATTTGTTCCCCACTAAAATAGAAACCTTCCCTTCTCTCCTGTCCTCTCATTTCAATTATACTCAATTATCCTTGCTCCACCCCCTCTAGCCCTTCTATTCTTACGGCATTTAATTTGAAGTAATTTATAATTTACTAATAATGTGCTAACTTGGGTACTTGTTTTATCTACATAACATATTCCGCAACTTGAGAACGGACTGTGTTTTGCTATTTTTGTACATCTTATGGTGCTTTCTCATGTCTTTTTCACTTTTTGTTATCATATACACAGGTATCCCTGGCTGTCTGAACTCCATCTGAATATTTGCTATAATGATTTGCAAAAATTCTTACTCAGAATTCACTCTCTGAATTGAAAATTCACTATCACAAATATGCATGTACCTGCTAGTGAAAAACATTTGTGTTCAAGTGTAGGCAAAATATGTATAAAACCAGAGAAGGGGTTAGCCTCCCATGGGCCCTTTATTAGCTTTTGCCAGGAGCCTGGGGGTATCGTTAACAAGCTTCCAATTTAGATATAATCTTTAACATATTATTTCATTTTTTATTTTCATTGCGGTATAAAAGGCAATTATAATTTGTATCTAGTATTTTGTCATTTACCATATAAGCCCAATAATGAGTCCATTAAGTGTTATATGATTACATAATTAGTGCTTTAAATGCTATACAGGAGTTTAAAAGGTTTTGTACTATATTTGGGGGAACTGATTATGCTTTCTGGTTGGGCTGAGAACATACTATTTTTCTCATTTAAAAGAATGGAATGGAGGTTTTTGCTTTCCAAAAGTGCACTACATGATTCAAGAATGGACTAGAGACAAATACCAAGGCATGCCTTTATCTAATTTAAGAACACAATTCCAGAGAATGACAGACTACTCTTGATTTGTGATAAAATCTTTTCTTCCTAGTGGGGCCTAAAGAAATTAGTCTGTGTAATCACTTGCCAAGTGGGACCTGCCCAGGTTTTCCCATATATTTATATTTATGCAACTTAGGCCATTAATCAACGGGAATGCCTCCCGTGGACCCTGTGCCTCCCGTGGACCCTGTGCCTCCCGTGGACCCTGTGCCTCCGGTGGACCCTGTGCCTCCCGTGGGCCCTGTGCCTCCGGTGGGCCCTGTGCCTCCCGTGGACCCTGTGCCTCCCGTGGACCCTGTGCCTCCGGTGGACCCTGTGCCTCCCGTGGACCCTGTGCCTCCCGTGGACCCTGTGCCTCGGTGGACCTGGCCTCCCGTGGACCCTGTGCCTCAGTGGGCCCTGTGCCTCCCGTGGACCCTGTGCCTCCGGTGGGCCACTGTGCCCTCCCGTGGGCCCTGTGCCTCCGGTGGACCTGTGCCTCCCGTGGACCCTGTGCACTCCGGCTGGACCTGTGCCTCCGGTGAGACCCTGTGCCCTCCCGTGGACCCTGTGCCTCCCGTGGACCTTGCCCACAGAAGATCCTGTGGTGTGATCATGGCTCCCTGCAGCCTCAACCTCTGCTGGGCTCAACAATCCTCCACCTCAGCCTCCCCTTGGGGGCCTACAGAGCATAGCCACCACCACATTTTGGCTAATTTTTTGTTTGTGAGACAGGGGTTGCCATGGCCAGGCTGGTCTTGAACTGCTAGGCTTCAGTGATCCACCCGCCTCAGCCTCCCCGAGTGTTGGGATTACGGGCATGAGCCACTCTACTGCTCCAGACCTTTCATATGTCAGTTGTTTTCTCCTCTCGGTGGACCCTGTGCCTCCCGTGGACCCTGTGCCTCCCGTGGACCCTTGCCCACAGAAGATCCTGTGGTGTGATCATGGCTCCCTGCAGCCTCAACCTCTTGGGCTCAAGCAATCCTCCCACCTCAGCCTCCCTTGAGACTACAGGCATGTACCACCACATTTGGCTAATTTTTGTTTTTTTTGTAGAGACAGGGGTTGCCATGTTGCGCAGGCTGGTCTTGAACTGCTAGGCTTCAGTGATCCACCCGCCTCAGCCTCCCCGAGTGTTGGGATTACGGGCATGAGCCACTCTGCCTGCTCCAGACCTTTCATATGTCCAAGTTGTTTCTCACTCTCAGTGAAGTGGGTTTCTGGGCTGGACTGTGATTGAGAATACTGGCCTGCAACCTACAGTAAGAAACAGCCTCACAACAGAGTACCCTCACACACACACTTACATATGTACACAATGTATATGGAAATATACGGAATTTATACATCACACATACATGTATAAAAACAGGTTAAAATTCTTTTTTAAGTTCGGGGTATGTACACATGCAGGCTTGTTATGTACGCTTGAAACTTGTGTCGTGGAGGTTTGTTGTACAGATTATTTCATCCCCCAGGTATTAAGCCTAGTACCCATTAGTCACTTTTCCTGATTGTCCCCCTCCTCCCACCCTCCACCCTCCGACAGGCCCCAGTGTGTGTTGTTCCCCTCTATGTGTCCATGTGTTCTCATCATTTAGCTCTCACTTGTAAGAACATGTGGTATTTGGTTTTCTGTTCCTGCATTAGTTTGCTAAGGATAATGGCCTCCAGCTCCATCCAAGCCCCTACAAAGGATATGATCTCGTTCTTTATTATGGCTGCATAGCATTCCATGCTGTATATGTACCACATTTTCTTGATGCAGTCTATCATTGATGGGCATTTAGATTGACTCCATGTCTTTGCTATGGTGAACAGTGCTGCAATCAACATAGGCGTGCATGTGTCTTTATAGTACAATGACTTATATTCTTTTGGGTATAGACCAGTAATGGGATTGCTGGGTTGAATGGTATTTCTGTTTTTAGGTCTTTGAGGAATCACCACACTGTCTTCCACAATAGTTGAACTAATTGACACTCCCACCAACAGCGTTTAAGCTTTCCTTTTTCTCCACAACTTCGCCAGCATCTGTTAAATTCATGTTATTATTTTTGATATGCTGATAATTTTTAAAAATGTTTATAATCCAATAAACTTCACAACTATGTGATTTGACCTTCAATTTGAAAAACACTGCTTTGGAGGATATTCAACAATGAAAATGAATACAAGAAAGTACTGTGTTCTACTTCTTTTGAAAGTTGAAATTCTGGCCAGGCATGGTGCTCCCGTCTGTAATCCCAGCACTTTGGGAGGCTGAGGTGGGAGGATTACAAGGTCAGGAGGTTTCACCTGGCCAACACGGTGAAACCCTGTCTCTACTAAAAATACAAAAATTAGCTGGGTGTGGTGGCGGGGGCCTGTAATCCCAGCTACTTGGGAGGCTAAGGCAGGAGAATTGCTAGAACCCAGGAGGCGGAGGTTGCAGTGAGCCAAGATTGCGCCACTGACTCCAACAACCTGGGTGACAGAGCGAGACTCCATCTTGGAGGAAAAAAAAAAAAAAAGTTGAAATTCTTTCGATAAGACTTATTAGGATCTTTAATGCAAAGCTATCTATAGGTATTAAAAATTACTGGGACTGATTAAAAAATAAAACTGTTCAGAGTAACCTTTATTTCACACCCCTGATCCTATGCTCTTCTTTTACATTTCTTTTTATCTTTTTTTGAGATAGAGTCTTGCTCTGTTGCCCAGTCTGGAGTATAGTGGTATGATCTTGGCTCACTGTAACCTCCTGGGTTCAAGCAATTCTTCCACCTCAGCCTCCCAAGTAGCTGGGACAACAGGCGTGTGCCAACATGTCTGGCTAATTTTTGTATTTTCAGCAGAGAAGGGGTTTCACCATGTTGGCCAGGCTGGTCTTGAACTCCTGACCTCAAGTGATCTGCCTGCCTTGGCCTCCCAAAGCACTGAGATTACAGGCGTGAGCCACCATGCCCGGCCTCCTCTTTTTTATTTCTGTAACCTTGTTTTTGCAATCAGCCTTCTCCACTTACTTTTCTGTTGGGACTCTCTCTCTGCTTTCAAACATGCACCAGTCTCATTTATCAGACATGAAAGGAAAAAAGGGAAAGAAGAAAACACCGCCACCACATGTGACAACATGTACAGGCACATAAACACACAAAGACCCCATAAAACAGCCTTTTGCAATCACTCTATAACTCCTGAGTGGTTTTTCTAGTCTCCTCTGTATTCACAACCTTGGATGAGTGATTTAACTCACTGGGATTAACATGGCTGGTCTGAATCTTTGTAGATTAAAACTCAACACTTCTGAAAATCTAAGAACGCCATTTCAGTCATCAAGCCTGTTTTTCATTTAATTCTGCAGATAGTACTAGATAAAAGGGGGAAAAAAGCAATAACACTAGGAATCTGAAAGCCTTATTACTGAAAAAGCTAAGGTAATTTAAAACTATTACTTCCTGATTTAAAGGTATTCTATTTAAAATGAAAAAAGGAACCAAAAAACATCATGCTATCTTTTGCAGTCTAAAACTACTGAAGTCAAAAATTAGGAATAACATTGCTAAACCATAATAAACTCTTCCACTGTAATCTATAATAATACATGTATTATGTATTGGAATATGTTATTAGCACTGATAAAATTTTACGTGTTTAATTTTTATATTAGGAAAATAGAGCAGTGAAGCTATAATGTATGGCAGACCTTGACTATTTTCATTCCAATCTAACAAATATAACCACAAGATAAAATTCCCACAATAAGAAGTATGTTTGGCAAAAAGAGAAGAAAAGGTATTCAGAGATGCAGGACAGAGCAAGTAAAAAGCTCATTCACTTTGCTATGTGACTTATACCAGGTTACCAGCTTCCTAATCCATGACAGACAGTCTTAGAAATGTACTTGTAATTTAAAATTCTGAATAGATGCCACATTCATACGGATTTTTTAAAAAACACCTTTTTCTTCCTCCAGTAATGGAATTAAGCTTATATGTTCAAATGTTTTATTGAAGGCATATTATCAGTTACGTTATAACTATAGTACAAATGGCAGATATTCGTATTACTTTCTGTACCATACCATATATTTTAGCACCTAATTATATTAACTTTTACACTCAATCATGATTGTTTTAAAGGATTTTTGAATTGGTTTCTATTTATAAGGATTGGCTGAAAGCTCCTTGAGAACATCTTTGTCATCAAATACCCTCAGGTAAGAAACAAAGGTTGTATTAATTTGGCCAGGCACAGTGGCTCTTTGGCCGGGCACAGTGGCTCATGCCTGTAATCCCAGCACCTTGGGAGGCTGAGGCGGGTGGATCACCTGATGTCAGGAGTTCAAGACCAGCCTTGTTAACATGGCGAAACCCTCTCTCTACTAAAAATACAAAAATTAGCTGGGCGTGGTGCTGGGTGCCTGTAATCCCAGCTACACAAGAGGCTGAGGCAGGAGAATCACTTGAACCCAGGAGGTGGAGCAGTGAGCTGAGGTTGTGCCACTGTACTCCAGCCTGGGTGACAGAGAAAAAAAGAAGGTTATATTAATTCAATAAAAAAAGGGCCTATATTATTTCATATATCATATCCACATAATTTATTATTATTTATGAGACAGAGTCTTGCTTTGTCACCCAGGTGGGAGTGCAGTGGTGGTTATCTCAGCTCACTGTAGCCTCGACCTCCCCAGCTCAACCAGTCCTCCCACTTCAGTCTCCAGAGTGGCTGGGACCACAGGCTCACATCACCACCCTGTCTAATTTTGTTTATTTTCTGTAGAGATAAGGTCTCACTATGTTGCCTAGGTGGTCTCAAACTCCTAGACTCAAGTGATCTTCCTGCCTCAGCCTCCCAAAGTGTTGGGATTACAGGCGTGATTGTATTTTCCTAATATAAAAATTACATACCTGAAATCCTATGGCACCTGATCCCATAAAATTTATTTCTAAAATCAAAAAGCCTCATCTTTCAGCAGGTAGTTATAGAAAGCTTACCTCTCACTGTTCTCCTCCATTGTGTCTTGCATTTTAGAGGGAAGTCCTGTACATCGGTCACCTGTCAGTTTTTCTTCTTCTAGACCTATTCTGTTCCCATTGTATTTTTCAGTCATTATTTTGTTTGGTGAATGATCAAAGGCAGGAGATAAGTCTTCCTTAGAAAGTTCTTTCCATCTTTTCTAGGTAGGGAAGAGAAATAAAAAACAAACACTAAAAATTTATTTTCCTTAAATAAAAAAAATTTATGAATTAAAATCATATATTCAAGTTAAGAAAACCCAATGATGCTAAAAGATGAGTGAAAAAGAAAAAGGCATTTTGCCATACTGTAGCTTGTAACTATGCTTAATTTCAAAATTTTATAACAATAAAGCATTTAATATTTATGTACATCAGTATATAGTTGAATATAATAATCTTAATAAAATCTCGTAGACTTTTACCTATTTGAGGGCAAACTATACTAGGACCACACTCAACTATTAGTCATAGTTACATAATTTTAATATTGGTATCCAGATCCATGAAACTCACAGCATGCTAAATCCATTCAATGCAAAGAGGTCCTCTCTCCAAGGTACATTATAATAAAGCCATCAAAAGTTAGACATAGAGAATTCTAAAAGCAGCAAGAGAAAAGGATCAAGTCACGTGTAAGGGAATCCGGCAGGTTCCTATCAACAGATTTCTCAGAAAACCGGTTCATGCCAAGAAAGAACGGCTTGTAGAGAATGGGATAATATATTCAAAGTGCTGAAAGATAACAACTACCAGCAAAGTTATCTTTCAGAAATGAAAGAAAAATGGAGTCTTTCCCAGACAAGCAAAAGCTGCAAGAATTTATTACCAATAGACTAGCCTCACAAGAAATGCTTAAGGGAGTTGCTTCGACTGGAAGCAAAAGTATAATTACTATCATGAAAACATATGATAATCTAATCTCACCAACAGAGGTAAATTAATTACCAAATTCAGAAAACTCCATTGCTATAACCGTGGAATATAATCTTTCAAATCCTCATTATGAAGGTTAAAAGTAAAAAATGGTTAATGGTAACTACAGCTACAAGTTGTTAAGGATCACACAATATAAAAAGATGTAAATTAAGCAACAAAAGTATAAGTTTGGGGGGAGGGTAAAAGTCAAAAATATTTTATGAGACAAACGTTAAGTTGTTATCAGCTTAAAACACTCTATTGTAACTACAAGATGTTTAATGTAAGCCTCATAGTAACCACGAAGAAAAAAAGTAAGTACAGCAGACACACAAATAAGAGAAATAAATCAAAGCTGCTCACTATAGAAAATCACCAAACCACAAAGGTAAACAATAAGAGAGAAAGAAAGGAATAAAGAATATGCAAAGCAAACAGAAAATAATTAACAAAATGGCAGGTGTAAGTCCTTATCTATCAATAATACCCTTGAATGTAAATAGATTAAATACTTCAATGAAAAGACATAGTGGCTGAATGGATGAAAAAACAAAAAACAAAATCCAACTCTATGTTACCTACAAGACACTCACTTCACCTGTAAGGACACACTAAGCCTGAAAGTGAAGGCATGAGAAATGATATTCCATGCAAATTAAAACCAAAAAGAGAAGAGGAGTAGCTATATTTTGATAAAGTAGACTTTAGGCCAAAACCTGTAAAAAGAAACAAAGGTCAAAGGGGTCAGTTCAGCAGGAGGATGTAATGATTTTAGGTATCTGTGCACCCAACACTGGTGCACACAATATAAAGCAGATATTATCAGACCTAAAGGGAGACACAGACTGCAATACGGTAATAGCAGAGAACGCTACATCCCATTTCCAGCAATGGACAGATCATCCACACAGAAAATCAACAAAGAAACACAGGATTTAAACTGCACTCTAGGCCAAATGGACCTAACACACATTTACAGAACATTCCCTCCAACAGCCACAGAATACACATTTTTCTCATCAGCACATGGAACATTCTCCATGATGGACCATATATTAGGCCACGAAACAAGTCTCAACAAATTAAAAAAAGAAAAAAATCACCATCAGGCCAGGCGGGTGGCTCACACCCAAGAACTTTTGGAGGCGGAGGCGGGAGGATCACCTGAGGTGAGGAGGTGAGGCCAACACAGTGAAACCCCATCTCTATCACAAATTAGCCGGGCGTGGTGGTGGGCACCTGTAATCCCAGGTATTTGGGAGGCTGAGGCATAAAAATCACTTGAACCCGGGAGGCGGAGGTTGCAGTGAGTCAAGATCGTGCCACTGCACTCCAGTCTGGGGGTCAGAGTGAAACTCTGCCTCAAAAAAAAAAAAAAAAGTAGAAAGATCTCAAATAACCTGATGTAAAGGAACTAGAAAATAATAAACTAAACCCAAAATTAGCAGAACAAAGAAAATAATAAAGACCAGAAGAATGGAAATAAAGTGACTAAAAAAGATACAAAAGATCAACAAAACCAAAGATTGTTTTTTAGAAAAGGTAAAACAAAATCAGCAAACCTATAGTAGACTTAAAAAAAAAAAAAAAGACTCAAATCAGAGATGAAAAAGGAGACATTACAACTAATACCATAAACAAAGTATTGTAAGAGACTATTATAAACAACTGTATGCCAACAGATTGGAAAGTCTAGAGGAAATGGCTAAATTCCTAGACACACAAGCTATCAAAACTGAACCATGAAGACACAGAAAACCTGAACTGACCAATAAAGAGTGAGACTGAATCAGTAATAAAAAGTCTCCCATCAAAGAAAAGTCCAGGACTTGATGGCTTCATGGCTGAATTCTACCAAACATTTAAATAATACTAATTCTTTTCACACTATTCAAAAAATTGAAGAGAGAAATCTTACAGAATTATTCTATAAGGCCAGCATTACCCTGATACCAAAACCAGACAGGGATACAACAAAAAACAAAACTACAGGCCAATATCCTTGATGAACATAGACGCAAAAATCCTGAATGAAATAATAGGAAACTGAATTCAACAATATATTAAAAACATCATTTACCATGACCAAGTGGGATTCATCCAAGGGATGAAAGGATGGTTCAACATATGCAAATCAATAAATATGATCTATCAAATCAACAGAATCAAGGACAAGAACCATATGATCATTTCAATAGATGCAGAAAAACCATTTGATAAAATTCAACATACCAGCTGGGCACAGTGGTTCATACCTGTAATCCCAGCACTTTGGGAGGCTGAGGCAGGTGAATCACTTGAGGTCAGGCGTTTGGGACCAGTCTGGCCAACATGGTGAAACCCCATCTCTACTAAAAATACAAAAAACAGCTGGATATGGTGATACAGGCCTGTAATTCCAGCCACTTGGGTGGCTAAGGCACAAGAATCGCTTGAACCCAGAAGGCGAAGGCAGCAGTGAGCCGAGACTGCGCCACTGCACTCCAGCCTGGGCAACGGAGCAAGACTCTGCCTCAAAAAAAAAAAAAAAAAAATCAACATACCTTCATGATAAAAACTCTCAACAAATTAGGTATGAAGGAAACTGTGCCTCAACACAAAGCCACGTATGACAAACCCATAGTTAGTATCATACTGAACATGAAAAAGTTGAAAGCTTTTCCTCTTAAGATCTGGAACAAGACAGAGATGCCCAATTTCTTTTTTTTCTTTTTTTTTTTTTTGAGATGGAGTTTTGCTCTGTCACCAGGCTGGAGTGCAGTGGTGTGATCTACAACCTCCGCCTCTCGGGTTCAAGCAATTCTCCTGTTTCAGCCTCCTGAGTAGCTGGGACTACAGGCGCGTGTCACCATACCCGGCTAATTTTTGTATTTTTAGTAGAGACAGAGTTTCACCATGTTGGCCAGGGTGGTCTCAATCTCTTGACCTCGTGACCTGCCCATCTCAGCCTCCCAAACTGCTGGGATTCCAGGTGTGGCACCAGGCTAGAATGCCTACTTTCAACACTTTTATTCAGCATAATTCTGTAAGCCCTAGCCAGAGCAATTAACCAAAAGAAAGAGAAAGGGCATTCAAACTGGAAAGGAGGAAGTCGAATTGTCTCTGTTTGCAGAAGACATAATCTTATATATAGAAAACCCTATAGACTCTACCAAAAAACTGTTATAATAAACAAATTCAGTAAAGTTGCACGATACAAAATCAACAAATAAAAATCAGTAGAATTTTATACATCACTAGCAAACTACCTGAAAAAAAGAAATCAAGAGAGCAATTCCATTTTCAAAAAAATTACCTGGGAATAAATTTAACCAAGGAGGTGAAAGATTTCTATAATGAAAATTATAAAACATTAATGGAAAAAGTTGAAGAGGACATAAATGGAAAGATAGCCTATGTTCATGGATTAAAATTAATATTGTTAAAATGTTCATGCTACAAAGTGATCTACAGATTCAATGCAATCCAGTGAAAACACCAATGACATTCTTCTTAGAAACAGAATCAATAATCCTAAAATTTGTATGGAATCATAAAAGACGCCAAAAGCCAAAGCAATTTTTAGCAAAAAGAACAAAGCTGGGGGCATCACACTCTCTGACCTCAAAATATACTACAAAGCTACAGTAACCAAAATAGCATGCTACTACCATAAAAATGGATGTAAAGACCAATAAAACAGGAGAGCATGGAAATAAATCCACGTATTTACAGCCAATTTATTTTTGACAAAGACGCCAAGAATACACACTGGTGAAGGACAGCCTCTTTGATAAATGGCGTTGTGAACACTGGATATCTAGATGTCCAGGAATGAAACTAGACCCCTATCTCTCACCATATTAAAAAAATCAACTCAAAATGGGCTAAAGACTTAATGTAAGACACCAAATATAAATACTAGAAGAAAAGATAGGGGAAACATTTCAGGACATTGGTCTGGGCAAGGGAAGGGTCTTTTGTATAAGATCCCAAAAGCAAAAACAGACAAATGGGATTACATCAAACTAAAAAGTTTCTGTACAGCAAAGGAAGCAATCAACAGACTGAAGAGACAATCTACAGAATGGAAGAAAATATCTGCAAACTATACATTTGACAGGGATGAATATCCAGAATATATAAGAAACTCAAACAAAATTCAATAGCAGAGCAGAAAACACAAATAATCCAATTAAAAACAGGTAAAAGACCTGAATACTCATTTCTTAAAAGACATACAAAGAGCCAATAGTTACATGAG